CATTTGCATGTCCCGGGCGCCGCCATTTTTAAATCCCCCTTAGTCCGAACTCTGTGCCCGCGGCTACATGCGGCACGGAGTAGGTAGTTCGAATTAAAGATCCTAATTTGAACTACCGTTACATCGGCGGCACCCGGGAACATGCAAATGAAGCCCGGGATATTTAAATCCCGGGCTTCGTTTGCAACTCCGCTCGCCCTAATTACCCTACCTAGCTCGAACTAACGAGCTAGTGTAGACATACCCGGACTCTAAGCCTAGATGTGTTGGAAGCCCCTTAAAAGAGGGTGGCCCACTGGCATCTGAACTGTGGCCCCGCCCTGTCCCCTGGCTCTGCCCCCTCTCTGCCTCTTCACCCAAGGCTCTGCTGCCACTTCTTCCCCCCCAAATATGCCCCCACCCCCCATGCTCGCTCCTCTCCAACCTCTTGCTCCCGTCACTTATCCTGATGGCTGATAAAACCTGATGGGGCATGGCCCTCTGGCCCCTCCATTCCAGGCCCCTGCTGAAGACTGTATCTCATTCGTACGTGTTCACCTGCTGTATCCTTTGTCAGCTGCTCTGTGTCGTCTCCCTAGTTAATCAAACTTTACTTGGCTTATTCCAAGATTGGCTACAAGCATTGTCTTTGGTGAGAGCTCTCTCAGATGCAACTGATGTGGAGTAAGCGACTGGGCCTTGGGGATGGGGAATATTGCTGCGAGTTTTGGTCTACGGGACTGTCTGTCGCAAGGGCTGGCTTGCTGGGGTGGCAAGACAGACCGGTGCCCCCAGTAGCACAGGCAGTGGCTCTGTGTTAAGGTTGTTGTAGGGCTCAAGGTGTTCACGCCAGGTATGGGGCTGATGCAGTCGAATTACAGCATTCACAACCAGCCTGAGGTTCGCTCCCTGTTTTTTGACAGTCTGCCCAGAGGTGTGTATGCATGGCCATGAACCACTCCAGACTGTGTGATGGAAAGAAAGATGCCCCAAGGCAAAGGGGAACAAAGGGATGTGGGGGGCAGATTCTGGGAAGGGAGTGAGGGGTAGAACAGTTAGAATGAGGGGTGGGCATCAGGACTCTGGGGTTCCAATCCCAGCTCCCTCTGTGACCTCAGGTGAGACTCTTCCCTTCAGTGTGTCTCAGTTTCTCTTGCTATGAAACAGGGAGAGTGCTAGCTCCCAAGGAATTGTGACATTTCTTCCTTCACCTCCAGACAGGCAATGATTATTATAATGACCAGCTGAGAAAGCACTCCCATTTTATCCTGCTGCCACTCAAATTCTTCTTGCACCTCCTCCGGGTACACCCTCCTATAGGGCCCAGGGATAGGGATTGTCCTGCCCCCGCTGAGGCCCCAAACTCTTGAGTAATGAGCACTATTCTATACGGACTGGCAACCTGATTTGGGACATGCAACACAACCCCCCCTCACATAGCAATGAGTTCAATGTATCACTCCAATGGACTCCATACCCACAGAGCTCCTTGTCTCATAGGTCCTGGTTATATGGGCCATTCCAATGGATTGCTCCACCTCCACAGAACTGCCTCTTGCATAAAGGCTGGTTATATGGACTGTTCAGGCACACTGCTCTATCCAAGCTCTTGCAAAGAATCTACCAACCTGTATAGACCACCTACTCCATGCCAGGCATACAACACATATACCTCTAGCATAGTGACTGGTTCATCAGACCACTCACATGGACCAATCCATGCCCATATACTCCTATGACACACAAATGCTACTTATATAGATTGTACATACACACTGATCCATCCCCACACAGCACTCCTTGTATAAAGACCAGATATATGGACCACTCCACTCATACAAAGTCCACCCTTGCCCAGAGACTGGTTATACAGACTTCTCCATCCAAGCCCTTGCACAGAGATTGCTTCTCCATACATACCAGCTATCCAATACCAGGCACCCAACACAAAACCCTCTAGAATAGAGATTGGTTATACAGACCACTAATATGGACCACTCCAATCCCACAGAACTCCCACTTCAACAGTTCCACCCTCATGAAACCCTCCTTTGCATAGAGGTTGCAGATTATATGGACCACACCTATGGACAGCTCCACCTGTCTAGATGCAGCTGGACAGACCCCATCACTCGTAGATACTGGTCGTATGGATTGTCCCAGCTTCACAGCTCATCCACGTATACAGACCACTTATATGAACCACTCCACCCTTACAATGTTCTTTAGTTGCATGGAGAGTGGGTTAGATGGACTCCTCATAGAGACCACTTATATGGACCACTCAATCCTGCTGTAGCCCCTTCTATTATAGAGGCTGCTTATATGGACCATTCAACCCCTCCATTGTAGAGACCAATTATATGGGCCAATTTCATCGAAACTATCTTGGAGATCCTCACCAAATCTCTTAAGGACACTTCTACTTCTACAGACAAGAGGCAGCCTACCTGCATAACAACTGCCTCTGTGGACTGGAGCTTGTAAATGGACCAGCATCCAGCCTAAAGGAAGCCCTGTTTGTCTGCCTCAACACTGCACCTTGGGCTTGCTATGCTTCCTGCTGGTCTGCTTCCCAACTCCACTCAGGACAGGGTATATGGACCAGCCATGTATGGAAGTAAGTGGGTGCAATGCTGAGAACTAAACCAGTACTCATTTCACATGGAACAGGTGGCAGGACCAAGGGAATGCTGTGATCTTCAGTTCACCCAAGTGCCTGCCTCAAAGGCGGGGAAAGGGGGGGTAATGGTGCTCCAGACCATCTGCTCTTTGGGAAAGGCAACTGGGATGCCCCAAATCCTGCTCCATCATGGCGAGCCAAATGCCCCTGGCAGAATTAGAGATCAGCCCCAGAGAATGGGGACAAGACAGTCACATCACTGTGGATCTGTGGGAGATAGATAGATAGATAGATAGATAGATAGATAGATAGATAGATAGCTTCCACTTCTATGGATGGATGGATGGATGGATGGGGGCTGTGTCTGCGGATGGTTAAATAGATAATGAAAGAGAAATTCTCTTTGCTGCTTGACAGCCAAATGGCCTCTGCACAGCCACAAGCCACTCTCACAGCCCAGAAATGCACAATCCATCTGTGCCTATTGCACCTCTGCATAATAACCTCTGTGGGTGTGTGTCAGGGAGTCTGTGTCTGTCTGTGTCAGGGTGTCTATTTATGTGTCTTGAGTGTGTGTCAGGATATCTTTGTCAGGATGACTGTCAGAGTGCCTGTGTGTATGTTGATATATGTCTGTGGGTGTCTGTATGTGTGAAGGTGTTTATTTGGGTGTCTCAGTATGTCAGGGTGTCTGTGTATGTGTCAGGGTCAGGGTAGCTGTCAGGATGTCAGGGTGTGTGTCAGGGTCAGGGTAGCTGTCAGGGTGCCTCTGTGTGTGTCAGGGTCAAGGTGTTTGTGTGTGTGTCAGGGGGGCGTGTGAGGGTATCTGTTTGTGTCAGTGTGTTTGTATGTTCCAGGATGTCTGTTTGTGTGTCAGGGTGCGTGTGTGTCAGAGGGTGTTTGTGTGAATGTTTTGGGGTGCCTGTGTGCCTGTCAGTGTGTGTGTGTAAGGGGGGGGCTGAGTGTGTCAAAGGGTGTGTGTGTCACAGGGTGTGTGTCAGGGTGGGAGTGTGTCTCAGCCCTAGCCCAGGAAGAAGGGGAAGCCTCTTACCTTTTCATGACACCTCCGTTGCACAGCAGGGCTGGGAGCTCAGAAACCTCTGCAGTAAAGCCGGAGCCGTGCAAAATCCGGAGCGACACCCGCTCCGCAACCCGGGCAGCGGCGGATTCCCATTCCTCCCCCCACTTTGTCGTGTGTCAGGGTGGGAGTGTGTCTCAGCCCTAGCCCAGGAAGAAGGGGAAGCCTCTTACCTTTTCATGACACCTCCGTTGCACAGCAGGGCTGGGAGCTCAGAAACCTCTGCAGTAAAGCCGGAGCCGTGCAAAATCCGGAGCGACACCCGCTCCGCAACCCGGGCAGCGGCGGATTCCCATTCCTCCCCCCACTTTGTCGTCCCTAGAGAAAACCCAGGCTAAACCCCCGCACGGGGAAAGCTCCCAGGAGGCGACATCGCCCCCCCCCCCCCCCCCCCCC